CTGATCTACACGCATTTTCCCCACGATTCAGACTGGCAACTGTTGCGCCATCCCATCACTCTGAAAGTAGGTGTTTCTCTATATTTTCAAATGAAATCGTGCCAGCAATTGATAATAGGCTTATCCGTCACGGACATACATCCACTGATTCATTGTCAAGTTACACATCAGTAGATGCCGGATTGAAAATTTAACGGTTACTCGTGCACAAGTTTATCCGACAAGAACTGTGGTTATATTTTAAAATGTATTATATCTGTCTCCGCTGGTTCGTTTTTCGTATTTTCATCGCATATGAGCTTTCAACAACTGATTATTCCACGTGCACCTGATAGGTTGAACCCTTGGGTGTTGTTCTGAAAGGTATGGTGATAAGCTACTCGGACAAGCTTCTCATTCCGAAATCAAGTCAGAAAGCCATATTCAGTCCATGGAAAGTGTCTCAAAAGACGTTTGCCACATTGTCACGACGTGCCATATCTTAGTGCCGTACTTTGAGCTCGCGCCACCCGATTGCTTGTGGGATTACGAACCGCACTAGTCGTGTTAGACGAGAAGTGAACTTTGTTTCATGTGATTACGCAACTACTTCTAGGTTCTCGTTAATCCTTTCTTCTTCCTCTCTCCCCTCCCCGATATAATGACGATCCGAAGAAATGTGCAACGAGTCATCACCCGTCTACCGTCAAACCATCTATGTGTGGCGTGTGCGTAAAGCTAAGCTACCTTAGGAAATGCGGAGCATGTAGGCGTATACCAGAATAATCCGTGTGTCATTTTTAGTCATCACTAGAAGTGTTTCTCCCCACCTAATCTAGTTAACTTATGTTGCAGTGGTCGGAATTAGTAGTTCTATCGATATGACGCAACACAGAAACTGATATATTGGTAGGCGACACTTTGGTGCTCAAAGCAAACTTCGTGTAAATAGCTTCACTTTGGGTCCAACACGGCATTTTCTCCTTCCTTTTTAATTTTTTGGCAGATGTAGAATTACTTAAGTTTTAATTCGAACTACAACACGATAACGACAGCATTCCCATATCACTTCAAACCCTCAGTACGACTCGAACTCCAAACAGACTGAAAGGTTTTTATCTCTTACGGTAGTCCGCCCATTCCAAGCTTGACGCTGAGGTTTTGTTATGCGCATCCAAACAACCCTACCGCTCGTATGACGTCCTAACAAAATGAATCAGCTGATGAACTGTGGAACCTTGCTTTGGATTTGCTTAGTAACCGGTCAACATGTTTAGCTTTTAGTGCCTGCTATGAATTACTTTTCGTAAGTCATAATCATTGGTGCTTCTTAGCACCACACTTGCTCTGCAGTACTTTCAAACACAATACCGTCAATCTTTCCTTGCTTACCGCTCTTGTCTCCTTTACTAGGAGTTCGAAAACCTCGCCCCCGTTAAGTCAGCTTTCTTCAAGTATAACTTGGACCTAATCACACATCGAAATGCCGTGATTGTTTGTACAGACCCCGAGGTCTGTGTCGTGATCGCGTTCCCTCCACAAGCGGAAAAGTATTTGTCGTTTACTTTCGGGTTGTCAATAGACAACAAGGAAGGCTCGGAGGAATATCGCGGTTTACCACTCACGTGAGTTGCTCATTTACATGATGTTGGTTGATTTACCCGTGATGTGACTCTCGTTCTGCTTTTTTGTCCTGTGTGTAACAGAATTTTCAGTAGTTTTGTGGTACCTACCCGGCTTATGTATAATTTTTCGTAGCAGGCGCTTTGCTGTAAGTAGCTGAACGGTACTAACATATCCACATGTCTATGGCTTTTTGGCAGTGGGACCAGCTTGCCTGATATCAAATAGAAATAATGTGGAGAAGAGAATATAGAGGTCATTTTCACAAGATTTTGTGTTCTTTTGTTAAGGCTGAAACTGAACTGTGTCTGAGTGCCACCCACTCACTGCAACTGTGTTATTCTTAGTATACTATTTTATGTATTGCGGGGTTATTTTAACGTTACGCTTACATTCTCTCCATGCACAAATAGGTGATGTGCTTCACCTCAGTACAGCGAACCAAACGATGAGTTGCGCTCTTCCTCTTTTATCTTTATACCTTTTGGTTATCTGGCTTCAATGTGAGCGGGTTACTCTAACTTTCTTTTACTAACTTGGTTTGTCTTGTGAGTGCTGGGGTGGTACGTTTCAACCATCTGCCTTTGTTGTGTTTTCTCATCTGAAAAAGTAAAATAGTCAGTGGATCACTGAGCAAGCTGTAGACGTACCTTAATTTATGTCTAGAACAAGCAATTCCAGATAAATAATGTTTACTTCAAAGATTTTGGTGGTTCTCAACTAGTTTTGCTCGCGTCGATGTGTGATAAATTCCGGACGTATTTTCCATCTTGCGTCTAGACCCACATTCGGTAGCATATTCTATGGTGGTAGTTCAAGGTCAGTCACTCAGTCGCTTGTTTGGCTGCTAACCAAACACCAAGATACAGCAGCGAGATAAGACAGAGCAGTCGTACAAACCTAGTATTTAATCATGTCCTGTCCTGTATGCTTAGATATCCTGTGACTCTGATACAGTTGGCATATTTATGCTGCTCTTGTACACTTCGATCCACTCTCAGCTACTGTCTTTGAATTCCCGGTTTTGTTTTCTGTCAATGTGTAACACTTTTTTATTTTCTCTGGTGAACCTAGCGGTCACATCAACATTGACTACTCTGTACATCTAGGTGATTCATATCCTATTGGACCTTCAGTTGTGCATCCCCTTTTAAAAAGTGTATGTTTAATTGGCTTTCTTTTTTAGTGCATTCCATTTGCGCGGGACAGTTTTGGCGACTCATCCACTATACATTCATCTATTAGTAAGGTGTTGCAGTTGAGTGCAAATGGAAGGTGGCCTTTGTGTTAGACTTATTCATCTAAGTAAATATGTATTCATTCTACCGTGCGTGGTTCAAAGGTGTCCTTAAGCATTGTTAACAAGTTTATTCAAACGTTTTGTAGTATGCTCACGTCACATATGTACATATTCTCTCACGTCAGACGCTATGGGCGGCAAGAAATTTCCGTAGTGGAACATAGGTCTCTCTTCTATGTTCGCCCACCACGTCCTGGCGCATACAAGTTGCTGATATATGCGAAGCACCACCAAAACGGTCCTGCACACCAAGACAACGGGGCGTTCGACTATAGCAGTGATGCTAACTCCTCTAGTATGTATGGTGCTGTGTGCGAATATCGTCTAGTTGCCAATTTCCATCCAAACTGTTCACTACCGCCATATCCACCTTGTCAGTCCTCAAGCTACGGCCCAAACGAGGTTAGTCTCTTTTCTTGAGTTTTTTCTCCATAAGTTTTTCAACAGCACATCCTCCTAAGTTCCTTTCCCATCTGACCCGTATTTATTTTCTTCCCTGGTGCTTTTGGAATTCTGTCGGTGCTTGTCGTCTATAACAAATTGATCCATCAGTATTACCTAATATAACCTTCAAGCATTCTCCACTTTGTATTTAGTTGCCTATGCTGACTTATTTCGGAATGAATGCTGTTTCTAATACATACATACACGCATACATAATGATTTATACTGTGTCTCCTAAATTTAGAGTAAGATTGATTTCGAAAACTACTGGCCTCAAATACTTTTCCGAAAAACTAGTCGCTGGTCTACGGCTCCTGTCACGTACGCTCAGCAGTGGGAACTATTTAACCTCTTCCTCTAGTCTGTTTTCCCTACTTGGTATTAAACGAACCATTGCCTTCATACCTTAATATAGCCACCAATGAAACACTTGTTCCGGTTATGTGCACGTTTATTATTTTTAGCTGATTCGTCGATCGCGAGTTGTTAGGCCATCTGTTGAACTAAGCTTATAGTATTGACCATCCCACGATCCCCATAGTTTTTACTCGTGTCCGCTCTTTAGTTTTCGACTCCAGTGATCATTGTCAATTAATCTCTACAGTTGGCGAAAAACTATCAAATTCAAGCCAAACAGACGCAATGCACACTCCGTGCAACTCGAGGCTGCTTAGAGATACGATTCGCACTGGGTTCTTCTTTGGGCCTTCCACCACCCCGAATGATGGGTCGATTGCGATGTACTCTGGTGCCTGACGAGGCGCTCACACGAAGTCTGCTACAGCGGAGTGTCAATGGCAACCGAGAAGCTGTATTCGCTGTGTTCCTGCCCGAGGCTGGTGAATACGGCTTGGAAATATATGCAAACAATCCGGCGAAAGACGGAAACTCATTCTACGTGGTACGGTTCATTTGACCTCCTTTAATCAATAATCTGTTCCGTTGGTAATCTAGGCTCAACTCAGGGCTAGTTTTTTTTTTCATATTTCGTTCAATGGATAGACTCAAAGTGAGCCAGAACGACTGGAAGTCAAACATGCGGCTCGGGAATTATGGGACAGACAGGGAGGATCGGGCGTAGGCATAAACTCTGTCTTTGGTACTAGGACAACTAAACGATCGTTCTTTCTTTCTTTCTTTTAAACCATCTAAATGGAGTTAGAATTGCTCTCTTAACTAACTGAAATCTTTTTAACCTGTATATAAAACTTCACCCCGTTGTAGTTAGCAGGTGCGAAAATGCCCCGAAGAGAAACAATGATAGTAAGACCCACTTTGGACAATCGCAACCGCGGAATGCCTTTGTTGTGTTTTCTCATCTGAAAAAGTAAAATAGTCAGTGGATCACTGAGCAAGCTGTAGACGTACCTTAATTTATGTCTAGAACAAGCAATTCCAGATAAATAATGTTTACTTCAAAGATTTTGGTGGTTCTCAACTAGTTTTGCTCGCGTCGATGTGTGATAAATTCCGGACGTATTTTCCATCTTGCGTCTAGACCCACATTCGGTAGCATATTCTATGGTGGTAGTTCAAGGTCAGTCACTCAGTCGCTTGTTTGGCTGCTAACCAAACACCAAGATACAGCAGCGAGATAAGACAGAGCAGTCGTACAAAGCTAGTATTTAATCATGTCCTGTCCCGTATGCTTAGATATCATGTGACTCTGATACAGTTGGCATATTTATGCTGCTCTTGTACACTTCGATCCACTCTCAGCTACTGTCTTTGAATTCCCGGTTTTGTTTTCTGTCAATGTGTAACACTTTTTTATTTTCTCTGGTGAACCTAGCGGTCACATCAACATTGACTACTCTGTACATCTAGGTGATTCATATCCTATTAGGCCTTCAGTTGTGCATCCCCTTTTAGAAAGTGTATGTTTAATTGGCTTTCTTTTTTTACTGCATTCCATTTACGCGGGACAGTTTTGGCGACTCATCCACTATACATTCATCTATTAGTAAGGTGTTGCAGATGAGTGCAAATGGAAGGTGGCCTTTTTGTTAGACTTATTCATCTAAGTAAATATGTATTCATGCTACCGTGCGTGGTTCCAAGGTGTCCTTAAGCACTGTTAACAAGTTTATTCAAACGTTTTGTAGTATGCTCACGTCACATATGTACATATTCTCTCACGTCAGACGCTATGGGCGGCAAGAAATTTCCGTAGTGGAACATAGGTCTCTCTTCTATGTTCGCCCACCACGTCCTGGCGCATACAAGTTGCTGATATATGCGAAGCACCACCAAAACGGTCCTGCACACCAAGACAACGGGGCGTTCGACTATAGCAGTGATGCTAACTCCTCTAGTATGTATGGTGCTGTGTGCGAATATCGTCTAGTTGCCAATTTCCATCCAAACTGTTCACTACCGCCATATCCACCTTGTCAGTCCTCAAGCTACGGCCCAAACGAGGTTAGTCTCTTTTCTTGAGTTTTTTCTCCATAAGTTTTTCAACAGCACATCCTCCTAAGTTCCTTTCCCATCTGACCCGTATTTATTTTCTTCCCTGGTGCTTTTGGAATTCTGTCGGTGCTTGTCGTCTATAACAAATTGATCCATCAGTATTACCTAATATAACCTTCAAGCATTCTCCACTTTGTATTTAGTTGCCTATGCTGACTTATTTCGGAATGAATGCTGTTTCTAATACATACATACACGCATACATAATGATTTATACTGTGTCTCCTAAATTTAGAGTAAGATTGATTTCGAAAACTACTGGCCTCAAATACTTTTCCGAAAAACTAGTCGCTGGTCTACGGCTCCTGTCACGTACGCTCAGCAGTGGGAACTATTTAACCTCTTCCTCTAGTCTGTTTTCCCTACTTGGTATTAAACGAACCATTGCCTTCATACCTTAATATAGCCACCAATGAAACACTTGTTCCGGTTATGTGCACGTTTATTATTTTTAGCTGATTCGTCGATCGCGAGTTGTTAGGCCATCTGTTGAACTAAGCTTATAGTATTGACCATCCCACGATCCCCATAGTTTTTACTCGTGTCCGCTCTTTAGTTTTCGACTCCAGTGATCATTGTCAATTAATCTCTACAGTTGGCGAAAAACTATCAAATTCAAGCCAAACAGACGCAATGCACACTCCGTGCAACTCGAGGCTGCTTAGAGATACGATTCGCACTGGGTTCTTCTTTGGGCCTTCCACCACCCCGAATGATGGGTCGATTGCGATGTACTCTGGTGCCTGACGAGGCGCTCACACGAAGTCTGCTACAGCGGAGTGTCAATGGCAACCGAGAAGCTGTATTCGCTGTGTTCCTGCCCGAGGCTGGTGAATACGGCTTGGAAATATATGCAAACAATCCGGCGAAAGACGGAAACTCATTCTACGTGGTACGGTTCATTTGACCTCCTTTAATCAATAATCTGTTCCGTTGGTAATCTAGGCTCAACTCAGGGATAGTGTTTTTTTTTTCATATTTCGTTCAATGGATAGACTCAAAGTGAGCCAGAACGACTGGAAGTCAAACATGCGGCTCGGGAATTATGGGACAGACAGGGAGGATCGGGCGTAGGCATAAACTCTGTCTTTGGTACTAGGACAACTAAACGATCGTTCTTTCTTTCTTTCTTTTAAACCATCTAAATGGAGTTAGAATTGCTCTCTTAACTACCTGAAATCTTTTTAACCTGTATATAAAACTTCACCCCGTTGTAGTTAGCAGGTGCGAAAATGCCCCGAAGAGAAACAATGTTAGTAAGACCCACTTTGGACAATCGCAACCGCGGAACAGTAGTGCGTGGCCCAGTGCATCTTTTTGCCCTACATTTGGGTCACCTGGGTTTAAATCCTCTTAATCACCCTGCAAGTAACTGCTTATCCCAGTCTCGATAATGCATGTTTCTTCTCTACAAGGACAGACAACACTTGATGTTTTCATTGAGATGTTACAACATGACCCGTGATTGATGAGTTCCGCCTTCTTACTGGGTAGGGCTATTCCATTTATAAATACCAGCAACAATAGACTGGTCTCGCGGTTTTACCAAGTCCTATCTGTTTGTCTCCAACGATTATACTCTTTAATCTTTTCAAAATTGTTTGCAATTGTGGTTTGCGTTCAGCGACCAACATCCTTACTTGTACGTATTTATGCCCACATCACCATGCCCAATAAAAACAATTGTGACGACCCGTCAGCTGTCACTATTGACGCATGCGTGTCCAACAAACCGTGTATTGGGCAGAAACAGCGTCTCTGAGTTCAGGCAAACATTTAATGGAATAGCTTGCAATTACAGCTAATAGGATCTGTTTTTCCGTTTTCAATTATTTTTCGACGTCATATATCACCTTCGGTGGATTTAGGCAGCGTGCGGTGGAACGGCTCGGTACTTCGTGCAAGGGAGAGTAAAAATTCCCGCACACACCATATTTGGAATATTTGAAAATATTCCCGTCTGATGTGATACGTCCTCCTCAGACAGTGAATGAATGGTGCTTTATTTTTAACTTGGGTTTCCGAGGTTAGCGATGATTTGTCCCAAATCTGCACAAACTGAATGCGAATCTTGAGGTTAAATCACAAAACACGTGTCTGTACTGTACCATCAACCCTCAACTATGTGCATAATAATAAGGTCCAAGAGTACAAGCTCATTTTTCGAAGATCGGATGTGACAACGTTCTACATTTGCATCAGGATAGTCTCATACTTGCCAGCTGTATGTCCTTTTTGTCGTCGTCGTCGTCATCCAGCGACAGCTATTTACTTTCAAGGTTTGCATACAATAATGTCCCACCCAAAGCATGATATTGCCCATATTTTGTACCTTACGGATTAAACAGAGTGGGAGCAAAGCGAAGTCGAAATCATGTTAGAAAATCCTGTCTTCTCTCTTATTTTTGCGACACTGAATATGGCTGGCAGTCAACCCAGCATATCCCAACCTCTTACCTCTTGGTTACTGGACGCAATATCCAATATACCCATCAGGCTGAATGATGCTGCAGTTTTATCCGCAGATGCTGTAGTTTTTCGTCAATTGGTTTTAGAGTCATCAGTCTCTGTAGATTTAATGTTCCCACGTCACTCGGTAGAGTTACCTAGGCCCACCTATTTAGCGACAACTTACATAACCGACGACCTACCCTTAGCTACTGAGAAAAGTGCCAGTTTTACATATTTTCACCATACTGGCCAACTTGTGACACAAATGCGTGTGTACGTGTACCCGTAACATGAATCGCCAGTTAGCACGTGCTTGTTCAGTTTACTCCACATTACAACGTTTGGAAATAGCACGTGCTGTCAGGTCGATTAACTTCTCATTTTCCTTTTGATTGTGCCACTAATAAGGTATGGCAATACATCATTCTGTCGGATAGCGAGTCCCCAGTACGTGGTTTGCCCACAATCCCACCTGCCTACTTGGGCCCGATGCCTCGGTTCGATTCGATGGGACTGTCCACTGTCAGTCATCCGGATCCATTTATTCAAGCCAACACGGGTGAACTATGTATTCAGCTGAATCAGAACCCCGATATTCCTGTGAGAATGATGGCACAACTGATTCACGCCAGCCATGATGTGTCTGAGGACTGTTCCCAGCAGGTGAGTCTTTCCATTCCATCCACATACCCGTCCGTCAAACTGATTTTTCCTGCGCTCGATATTTTCGGTCTCGACTTACTCGGTTTTGGCTCAGAAATGTCTTTACAGGATTTCAACATATTTATCTTTTGTTTTCCTGTGTTACAGATCTTACAACAGATGCGTGACAACCAGGTATATTTTGTTGTCCGTTTCCCCCATCCGGGTTTCTTCAAGTTCCAGATCTACGCCCTACCTTATTCCGAGCCTGGTGAATCTCTTCCGGGTGTGTTTAATTATCTTCTTGAGGCCACACAAGTTCATCGAAACCGGTCCGGTCAAGTTATGTGCTTCCCACAACAGTTCTCACAATGGAAAGAGGGCTGCTATCTTCATTCACCACTAGACGGTATCCTGTCACCGTCTGCACAACCTTCGGATGTAATCCCATTTAAGTTGACTGTCCCAAAGGCAATTGCGGTTGCTGTTGTGGTCGGCGACGAGTGGACTCACCTGAACAAAGTGGGTGATCGATGGGAAGGTCAAGTGTCGCTGAAACAACACTGGGGGCGTGAACATCAGTTGGCTGTATGTGCTAACTACAACACTGGCAATGGGAACTATGGCACCATACTGGAATATCAAGTAGCCAGACGGTGATGGTTTAATAAACGATTTTCCGAACACCAAGATGCCTTGTACACCAAACATAAACTGGCCTCGACTTCCATCTGCCCCCAAAATGCGTTCTAGTCACGCATTTCTGCAATCCGGCAACATCTGTTTAAGAGGTTTTGCTCCCTTAGTGCTAGTCACCTTCAGCTGGAGGCACGCCGTATCGGCACAGCCAAATCGGATTTCCATTCAGGTTTGATCCGTTTGTTGCCTTGTACCGCTATCTTCATTCCACTGGCGCTCCTCTCAGTACCATTCATCCCGATACAGTAAGCTGACATCCGTATTTTGGCAACTCAATGTTTCCTCAGTTGGCTGTTTGTTTCGGGCTGCGTGCGCGCCTTGGATTAAATTACACTTCGCTCTCCTCCTACCCGCAGTGCCTTGTCTCTCACTTCTCAATGTATTTCTGCTGCCCTCTCCTCCACTCCGCCTTTATGCTGTTCGCACTGTTTTTCAGTTTGACCTGTTCTATTTATGACTTTATTCATTAGTCCTGTTCGCGAAAACCCGACGCCACCTGTTTTTGTAAGCTGGTTACGTCTGACCGTTGCAATTTTTAGTAACGTTACTTGACCAACATGATTTATTCTTCTCCTTCCTGCAATTGCTCACTTATGCTGTTTTTTGCAATTATCGTGTACTATTGCCGTTCATTACTCTTGCAGTTGTTTGTTTCTTTTCTTTCGAGTTTCGATCGAGACAAAGAAACACATTTTCCCGCTCACCTTCATAATTTGCGTTTTTACTGTTCTACTTGGAGAATACGGCTGCTCTACGGATCATGGCAAAAGCCTGTGAAATTAAAAATCGGAATGTGCTAGAGCAACATCTCTGCCGCTGCTGAGTTTGACAGGTTTTCCTTTCGTTCAGTTTATTTTGTTCAACTCTGAATAACTTAACCACAATGGAATGGTAAAAAGTTGGATCTCGGTAGCTGGCGGAGAATTGATTCTGGGACGAAAATCCCTACCCGTGATCTTGTCTAGCGTATCATTCCGGTCAAGTATGAGGTAGACAGTTGTGATCGATGCTGTTTGGCGAAAATACTGTTAATAAACCCTCAGTCTTAGTTTGAGTGTTTGTAAAGCGGAAATCCTTTCTTTCAGTAGTGGTTAATTTTTGGATGATAGAAGTGGAATTCGAGCTCCCCAAGTGGCGGATTCTAAGGGGGATAATTGAAATATGACATGCTTTATTTTACAGTTATTCTGAATGAACGTATGCACACTCGTATTTGCTTAGTTATTGCGCTGAGCAAAAGGATTTACTATCTCAAGTTAGCTCACTTCAACCTCCCCTCCCCCACGGGCACTTTATGGGGAGGTAAAGTAAGTAGTCTTGGTTGGGAAGGTGACAATTCATGGTCATACGTAAACAGACGTGGCCACGTACCTTCAAGTAATGACGAAAAATTCACATAATTCACTGAGTGGTTTCGCAAATGTTTTTATTGACTCAACTTAAAAAGCACTCTTGACGAACAGCACAGTGAATTACATTTACACAATTGACCGCAGGTCATCCCTTTATTCGGACACCCACCACAAAATGGCCTACTCTCTTCGTGAAACGTGTGAGTATAAGTTCGGCTTCAACGTTTCAAAATGAATCGACATCTTTACTGGTATCGTGGACTCGTTCCGTCCCTTCCAGAAATGCACGAAATCGATTTAAACATCGGTGTCACAAAGTGCACTTTAACTTTACAGGTATCTGTGTCCCTCACACGTGACCACACGCTTCGTGCACATTTTTTGACGAGCGCCGAAAGTGCAAGCCCAGTGGCTGGAACAACTTGAAACTGTAGTTAAATATATCTCAGTAATAAGTAACTGATTTTTGGACATCACAGGGAGTACTTGTCGCAAATTAAGTCCATAAGGTAAAGTAAACCACATAACCGCCGTCCGCAAGAGTCTCTTTTGAGAATGACCCTCTCCCGGGAGCTCACTTCCACGCATCCGATAAAATCCTCGTCATTTTCCTTCTCACAGTCAACCCTACTTCAAATTCAACGGGACTCTTCGCAGATTACACTGATTTTCACAATAATGTGATTTTAACAGGAGTTTCGAATGTATCCAGCTGAGTCGCTCGTGTATGGTATTCATCCCCAAATGCACGTGCTGTACATGACCGTTCCATGTTTCGTTTGGCACAATGTTTGCTATATCGCCTCATGAAGAACGAAACCGGTCGTGGACTGTCGATAGGTTTTCAGCAACTTTATGAATGATGTGGTCCGTCTAGCTACCGACCTTTTGTTTGTCCAACATGTAAAGTGGGTGATGGACTCAGCCAAAACTTTAACCAAAGACAGCTACCGAGCAATTACCGACATTCACAAAACTAGCACAGTAGGTTACGACAAGTGCAACAGGATAATCTCCGCTTATTTCGTGTTTTGGCTGTTGATCAGCAGCTGATCTGCTCGCCACATTCACAAAACTAGCACAGTAGGTTACGACAAGTGCAACAGGATAATCTCCGCTTATTTCGTGTTTTGGCTGTTGACCAGCAGCTGATCTGCTCGCCGGGCTTTGGAAGTGGCCTACAAAAGTTTCATCCTAAAAGAAAACTTCGTTGATGGGCCGTCACCGCTAATGTTCTGCCCTTGTGGATTTTTCACAAAGGGGGAAAGCTTTTACTTTAGTGTAGGAAGAAAAGATCGTTCAGAGATTTCGGGTTCATAGAAACGGAATAACGACAGAAAAACGAGTTCCGTAAAAAAGTAAGCTTGACGCATTACACATAAATTTTTATGTACAACTTGGTAAATATTTTGGATGCTAATGTAAAAGGGACCAATCGGTGGGATATAGTTATGACATTTTGAGTGACAAAGTATAGGGACATTTTTGTGAAACATGTGCAAATCACCTCGTCGTCACAGGTGGTTCAAGAGAGTGAACTAGAAGTTCTTCATGTAGCTGACCTTCATCCTTCGTGTGCTTCCAACTGATGTCTAGAATACTGGCGAAAATTTCACCGACGAAGGCTGGTTTTTGTCTGAAAGATACGCATCGGTGCGGTGAAATAGGCCATTTTCGCGTTCCAGCTAGCTTCTTCTGGAAATGGATGGAATATTTGGCACTAAACTTTGCAAAGTTTATGTCCTAGTATTGGTGTGCAACATTGTTGCAGGGAATTCGAGATAAATGTGATCAGTAAAAAGCCAAGTTGTCTCGATAAGATTACCTAGATGACGTTTCGGTTATTCACTGAGAGGACTTTCTGAATCAATAGAAAATTTAGTGCTCAGAAATTCAAAGACCCCATTTCGAAGCGGCTCCGTTAGAAATATCTGATGTCAGATTGGCCTGCTCTTTCAACCCTTGTAAAGTCAGTGACACAACCGGATGCAAAGTTTTGGCTCAACAAACGAACTAACCTGTAGACAACTTAACCACACGTCGTCTCAGTTCAGTTCAGTGGGGTGCTTTTATAGTTTGCATCAGTCAGCTGAGTTCTTTACCAATCGACGCTTTCAGTACTTCATTCTTTCACTGAATGTTCCCACTAAAACAGATGCCAGCCACAGCCTAGATATAGTTTATGACCAAAACAGTGGACTGTTTTTTAGAAGACAGCAAGTTTATAGCCGATATTGAATAGAACCACTTTGAGAAGGAGGTTGAAACCAGCATCTCTCCAAACACCAATGAAATATGCTCCTGCTATTCGGCGTCCTTAAAAGTTTTCTAAGAATATTTGTAACAATATAATGAAGCGTCAATAAACCTCAAGAAGAACTTGTTCGTTGAAAATCGAAAATCTATAACAAAAGCAAAACAGCGGACGCTCCTCTGCATTTTTAATCTCAACTTGTAACTACTGAAGTTGCTTGTGCCTATATTCAGCATCTATGGTCGCTTCAAACATTGTATCGGAATCCTTCGGTTCCATATTTTTTAGTCTCTTTGAATCTTCAGTTGCCAGAAAAATAAATATTGGTTATTACGTCATCATACGGGGATACTTTTGACACAAAATATTACGGGGCAATCTTACAAGCACAGCGGCTATTGATCACAATGGCCTCCCAAACAGCATCGTTCAGTAATTATATACGCCCAAACAAACTCCCTTCTTTTCGAGACGAAACTATTAAATATGAACCATCTCACACTGTTGAACATCTGTACCAAAGGGAATGAGTTCTTAGGGACTGAGGTTGATCCGCTGATTTGAAAAATTATGGTTGTGTTTGACTCAGTAATTGACCATCGTGTACGAGTCGTATCCTGTTTTGAGTTCGTAAACCGGTTCCCCTAAGTACCAGGTTGGCAGTTAGCGAGTGAGTATCATGTGCTGCCGAGCATATTTACTGCAATAGACATTCGAAGTTATTTGTTCACAGTTTCACTAGACTACACCTACCAAGAAGGAACATTCTCGCAACACTGAATGTCTTGACCCCACTTCGTAAACTGTTCAAATGAGAAATTCTTCGACGCAGACTCATCACGTAGGGCAGTGTAATAGTGTATGTAGAACAGTTTTTCGTAAGTTTCCCTTCTTTTTAGTCGACAAGAAAACTCCTACCATCATGTACTATGTGACGTTAAAACCTTTGCAGATGGGAACTTCAGGCTTGAAGGCCGCCTCAGTCGCACGGATCGGTAGGCATTTGCTTTGTTCAAGAATATCTATTCTTCTTACTGATAAACTGAGTACCATCATTTAAGTACTTTTATTGCTGAAATAAAGACCATGCATCAAACCAAGATGGACGTGCTTACAGTTCAGCCAGTAAATATATGAAACAGATATCAGACTGCACCGATTACCCACACCACCCAGTTGCAACAAACCAAGTCTTGCTAGATTACGCTGTTAAACAGTGCAGTCTGATTTGGGCTTGATGGAATAGCATCTTACAATTTCGATACTGCAGGATGTTTAGGATCATCGCCAACTGATCACAATATCCTGCTTAAACTATCAAAGCTTCCACCGATTAAAAGCCCTTCGCTTCCACATTAGGTTGCTGCTTCATTTAAGAAGCCATGTGCTGCACTCTGACAAAAGTGACCATTCAACGAAAGTACACACCTAACCCAGAAAGCAATTGTAAAATCTCGATGGTATTGTTGTAAACCGACAACTACTTTCCCCTGTATCTGTTTAATACCTGGTGTTTTAATTCTATGGTTCTTTTATTTTTCGCCAGTAGTTCCAGCAGAAGAGCTTTTGCACGTCAAGTTTTTCGTGTGACGGAGCTGCTAATGCCTTCTTTTTTTGCTCTGTTTAATACCTGGTGTTTTAATTCTATCGTTCTTTTATTTTTCGCTAGCAGCAGAAGAGCTTTTGCACGTCAATTTTTTCGTGCGACGGAGCTTCTAATGCCTTCTTTTTTTTGCCTCAGACCTGCGTAACTTAACGATTTCGAACTACTTTCCTCCATAGCTATTCGTTTTTCGCCTGACCTTGTTAGACTCAGCGGTTCGCAACTGATGTTTGGCCGTCTACGGGTTTAGGACATCTACACAGCTGAGGCTGTCAATGGCGTGTGTTATACACATTTTGCTGCAAAACACGACCTTCCAGTGTCGGCAATGCTACCCTGCATATAAGTCCAAACATCGTCTAAATTTCATTCAGTTTATTAAAGCACCGCCTGTCAATTGTGCCAGTTTGTCAAATGTACCGAATTTTGCATGTCATGATTCTATCAAACAGATTTCTATTGCAATTGTATCCTGACACTTACTAGCCAG